TTCTACGAAACGACCCCTGGTTATAATCAACAGGAAGTAACATGTTTGTAACCAATCTGTTTAGACAATAGAATGCCCGGGAACTTTGGAGCTAACTTAATAGTCTGATTGGAAACCAATGTGTCAAGTATTTAGCATATTGGCTTCTCCTTCCTGTCTTTGTTCTGACCGAGGAAGAAGACGCCATCCGTTCCTGCGTTTTACCTTTTAGCTGTAAGGATGTAGGCATTTTAGCTCTTTGTTATTTTATATCGCGTGTACCTTTTCCCCATGTTAGGTTTATAGTAAACTTTTATATTTTAAAAACACCATGGACTCAGTCTCTTACTACTTACTCTGCTGACTTACTTAAAAGAATCCCAACAGTTCCTTTGAGGAGTAGTGACTTTCTTCCCAGTAGAGCGTCCTGGGAGATCATAAACTTGCTGCACGTGGACTCGTTCAGAGTTCGGTTGACGGTGGGATGGAAGTTAATAATTTCCTGGTGAAATTGCTCAAGGGTTTCCTGACTGTGGCTGTGGATTCCGCAGCACAATGCGCCTGGGTGCTGCCGTGGTACCTGTCAGTCAGTAAGCTGAGTTGGTGTGAACTAGCTCACAGTTTTTTAGCCTCCAGCTCACACATTTCTGTCTTAGCTCCGGAAGGATGGCTCCAGAGCAAACTAATTTATGCAATAGCCAAATTGCTCGCTCACAAAGTAGAATTTTTGCTCACAAGATCCCACAGCTTAGAGGGAGCATTGCCTGTCAGTATTTCACTTTGTGCCCATCAAGCTTTTCAGAAAGTGGGCAGGGCGTTTGTAAGGTAAAAGGTAAAGGTTCCCCTTGCCCGAAAGCCAGTCGAATCCGACTCTAGGGTTGTGGTGCTCATCTCCGTTTCAAAGCCGAAGAGCCAGCGCTGTCCGAAGACGTTTCCGTGGTCATGTGGCCGGCATGACTAAACACCAAGGCGCACGGAACGCTGTTACCTTCCCACCGAAGTGGTCCCTATTCATCTACTTGCAGTTTCTTGCTTTCGAACTGCTAGGTTGGCAGGAGCTGGAACTAGAGACGGGAGCTCACCCTGTCTTGCGGCACGGCTTGTTATTGGTTGCCTTGAGTCAAATAAAAGTTCTTTTTCCCCCATGGATGCAATAGCAGCAACTGTCACTGAAGGATCAGGTGGACTAGTAGGCGTCCCCCCCCCCCAGGCTTTCCTTTATTTTTTTAAAATCCCCCTTCTGCAGTTTTTTTGCAAAGTGTGGCAGCCATTTTGGTTTCGCTCCGCCTCCTGTGGCAGCCATACGGGTTGTGTTCTGCCTCCTGCGGCAGCCATTTTGAGGTGGCCCTCACCACCACCCCTCAACATTCCAAAGGTGCCCACAGGTTCAAGAAGTAGCTGATGAATTTGTCGTTGACTGACCCTCAGGTAGAGGAGAGTTGTTTGAGGACAAAAGCTAAGGCAGTGTTGTTAGCTAAGAAGAACGCGTTGGTATACTCTGGAATCAGGCAAGTACTCATGGCCATGCTGTTGATGAGAAGATCCACATGGTCTCCATATCCAAAGTCAGGGGTCATTTCCTGCAGGAGCGCACAGGAGCGGAGCTCCGGCAGTAAAGAGCCCAGGGGGCGGGCACATGCAACAAGCCCCACCCCCTGCTCCCAGCAGCCCTCAGTCAGAGCAAGAAGCAGCCGGGTAAGTTGCAGAGCCCCCTGGCCCAAAACAGTCCAGTGGCACCTTTAAGACCCAAGTTTTATTCAGGTACAAGCTCTCCCTCCTCTGCGAAGGCATATCTGCACGTCCCCCCCCCCCAAAGCTAGGAATCGAAAACAGTCCAGTGGAGCTTGAGTGGTGGGTGTTGCCTTCTGACAGAATTCCGGTGATGTCAGGGGGTGTGGCATATGCAAATGAGTTATGCTAATGAGCTCCTGCACCTCTTTTTTCTATGGAATGACCCCTGTCCAAAGTAATCATCATCACGGACAAAGTGTTGGAAGAACTGGGTAGCCAGATGTGCTGAAGGCTCACAAGGGAAAATGTTCCTGATGATAGATTCAGGTGGCTGTGCTGGTCTGAAGCAGCAGAACAAAGTTTGAGTCTAGTGGCACCTTTACGACCAACAAGGTATTATTCAAGATATAAGCTTTCGTGTGCATGCAGACTTCTTTCGAATACCTGATTCCTGATGGTTGAGGTCCATCTTTGTAGGGACTGCTTGTGTGTGAGCCCCCCCCCCCCCCCCCCCCCGTCACAAACTGGTCCCAGGGGGAGCCTGGTAATGGGGCGACAAGGCGAAACCTTAGGAAAATGTTTGAAAGGTCCATTTTGAGTAGGGGCATGGCCGACTATATTCTCAAAAATACCTGAAGTCATAGTTATGGAACATCTTAGTTGTGTTACAGCATTGTTCTTTTTAGCAAGTAACCACATTTTTTGCAACTGCTTAAATCTGGGCTTTGGGCAGGGGAAAATTTACTAGTATTACTTTAATTCAGTTTTTTTTTTAAAAAATGTATTTCAACGTTCTGGTGAAATATAGATGTAAAGATTCTCTGCTATAGCTTAAAGATTTTTCACAGAGCTTCTTGTTCAGGCTGCATGAAAATGAGTGAAACCTTTTTTTAAAGAATTCTATTAGTTTATATAAAGAAATTAGGGAGGGGGGAAAAGAAGGAGGAAAAGAAAATTACAAAAATATTCAAAGTCCCAATTTAACATTCTGCATGCGTATCTTCTCATTACAATTTCACAGCTGTTTCACCTCTCATGCTTATTATTCTCCACTTAGTGTCTCAGTTTTAACCAGTCACAAAATGCCCTCCAGGGTCCCATAAATTCTTCTTCCATTTTCCCTTTTTAATATATTTGTCAACTTACCCATTTCAGCACATTCCATAATCTTCAATACCAGCTCATGAAAATGAGTGAAACTTCTTGAACTGTGACCATAGTAGTATTCTCTGAAAATGTTGTCTTTCGTTACAGACTGCGATGGAGCTTCTCGAGGAAGACCTCACGTGTCCCATTTGTTGCAGCCTCTTTGATGATCCTCGCGCGCTACCGTGTTCACACAACTTTTGTAAGAAATGTTTGGAAGGGATCCTGGAGGGAAATGCCCGAAATGTGATTTGGAGGCCGTCTCTCTTCAAGTGTCCCACCTGCAGGAAGGAAACTACAGTTACAGGAGTCAACAACCTGCAGGTCAACTATTCCCTGAAAGGTATTGTGGAGAAATATAACAAAATTAAAGTAACGACAAAAATGCCAGTGTGCAAGGTGCACAGCGGCCAGCCCCTCAACATTTTCTGCCAGACCGATACACAGTTGATATGCGGTATCTGTGCCACTCGAGGAGATCATATAAAGCACGTGTTTTGCTCCATCGAAGATGCTTACTTCCAGGAGAAACGTGCTTTTGAGACACTGTTCCAGGGCTTCGAAATATGGCATTGTGGGGATGCGCTTTCTCGGCTGGACACGCTGGAAACTAGCAAGAGAAAAGCCCTCCAGGTGCTGACCAAAGACTATGACCGAGTCAAAGAATTCTTTGAGAAATTGCAATATACGCTGGAGCAAAAGAAGAACGAGATACTGTCAGACTTCGAGACGATGAAGCTTGCCGTTATGCAGGCGTATGACCCAGAAATCAACAAGTTGAACACTATCATACGGGAGCAGCGGATGGCTTTTAACATTGCGGAAGCCTTTAAGGATGTCTCCGAACCCATTGTGTTTCTGCAGCAGATGCAGGAATTCCGAGATAAAATCAAAGTCATCAAGGAGACAAGACTGCCTTGTCCTACCGTGGACATCAACTCCACCATGAAAGGCTTCGATACCAGCCACTGGGAGCAGTTTAAGCTAGCAGATGTGGACAAACTTTCTTTACCTCAGGAGAAAACCACTTTCATTCCTTTGCTCTTCTCCTGCAAGTTTATCGTTGCTGCTTTTCTTCTCTTGTTCCTCCTTGCTACCACCAGGATGCTCTTTTTGGACTCTCTAGGCGACACTCTCCTGCACTGGAAAGGTCTTATCTCTGCATTTGGCTCAGGGTATCTCGTAGACATAGCGGAGATAGCAGATCTTGCTGTGTTGTACTGGGAGAGAATGACTGACGGCGTGTCTGTCGTGAGTGAAAAATGTGTCAAGTACACACTTGTGATGCTGGAAAACGTTGCTCAATTTGTCTGCAAATATAAACTTCTGTAGCTGCCATTAGTGCACACAAAACGTGAAATGAAAGAAGTTATTGTCTTGGAGTGTTGTCTGTTTTGTGTAAAACCCAAGTGCGCTGGACATGGATAAACTGGAGCAGATTTTTTCAAACTATCTTGTGGTACAGATGTGGTTTTCTGAGGCTCATATTTTGAAATATTTAACATATTCTGAAGGGGGCTGGCTTTTAAGGGAAATGCAAGTATACTGCCTTTTTTGGGCTAGTTTTGTATGTAGAACACACAATAGATGTACATATTACATGAATGAATGCACACAGCACTATAACTACAACTTTTTAATGAAGTACAATAAATCTTCTGTTCAGTTAATCTCAAAGTCAAGGAGAGCATTTGGTAATGCCTTGATAAAGAGCTTTAGACTGGAGTGTCTGTTGTATAAATCATTTGTTTATAGCAGGGGTGTCGAACTCATTTGTTATGAGGGCCGGATCTGACATAAATGAGACCTTGTTGGGCCGGGCCATGTGTGTCATAAAATGTAATGCCAGGTAGCGGAGATATAAACTTTATAAACGACACAAATACAAAGATTTTTTTTTTACTTAAAATAAAAACATGCTTAAAAGATTAGCTCTGTAAGCTGGAAACCTACTTTTGATTCATTGACATTCGCCACAGAAATCTCATGCTCAGAGTTCTGAGTCTAGGACCCCGGTTCAGTTCAGTTTATTTCTACAGTCCTTAGACCAGTCATACAAAAAAAAGTACACCTTTACAATATTCCAAGATTTTAAAATACATCAGTAAAACTTTAAAAGCAGATTAAAATTTAGTCTAATATCAAACTGCTATATCTAACTAGCTACCTTAGAATTTCTGTGATCTGAGTATCACCATACAGAAACTGGCTACTTCGTGGGTAATCTTGGGATTTCTATCAGATAGAAGAAACTCGAGTCTAGCTTTTTCTGAAAGGCCCGGAATTTGTTCAATCAGTGGAGTGATGATTTTATTACATGCCACCTTATAATTGTTGTTGTTGAGTTGCACAGTCGAGTCCGACTCTTCGCGACCCCATGGACCATATAATTATAATACGGACAGCTAAAAAACATGTGCTCTGTAGTCTCAACCTCCCTTAATGGGCAGGTACAAAGCCTTTCTGAGAAAGGAGTATTCTTGTATTTTTCTTCAAGTACAGCAGAAGGGAGGGCAGAGCACCTAACCAGAGTGAAGGCTCTTCTAAACCCTTTTATACTTCAAGAGATGTTAAATAGTTGGCTGGACCCACAGTATTTTTGATATTTGCCCTCATCTGGATGTTTTGTATGCTGGAAAGATCAGTTTGGTGTTCTATATCCTCGATTCTCTGCTTGACTAATATTTTTGCTTGGTTTGTTCCAAAAGATAAGAGCACCTGGGGGGGGGAGCCTATTTTCAGCAGATAACAGACTTAGACCAATTTTATTGGAAATTGTCGCAGAGTATCAGGGAGTAAACCTTGTGGATTGAGAAACCCCTTTAGCCAAGTATGTATGGCTGAGTGATTAAGAGAGTCTGGCGAAGCAAGCTATGATGCAGCAGCAGCAGGAGAACTGAGAGCAGGAGATGGCCAGTTTCACTGCGGGCCTGATGGAAGCCCTCCGGGGGCCTGAGCCGGCCCCTGGGCTGCTTGTTTGACACCCCTGGTTTATAGCACCAGCCATGGGCCTGGCTGTTTGAAAATAAAGTACGTATCTTAAAATAACTCACAACCTCCTATTAGGATGTGTATGCCCAGTGTGCAGGATTCACTTTTGAAAATCGGTAGCTGATTAGGCTCTCATTCTAAACTATGTAAGAGGGAACTTCCCTTCCATGAATGTACACTGACAATAAGCGTGTATACCTGAAGCGGAGGCAATCTTGGCGGCACCTTGATTAATGATGCATACCTTGTGTGGTTGTTCGAGGGCATTGGAGAAGAATGTCAGCGCTGTATCAGACTTTGTAGCTGATTTTAGAGGTCACTTGGGGCAGGACAAGATTTTAAGAAAACAAACAGGCTTCCCCTTACCTGTAACTCGTTCATCGCGTGGTCAGCCACTGTTCCCTCTAAGCTGAGTTAGTGTGAGCTAGCTCACAGTTTTTTTAGCCTCCGGCTCACACATTTTTCTCTTAGCTCAGGAAGGGTGGCTCCAGAGCACAGTTATGCAAGTAGCCAAATTGCTCGCTCCCAACTTTAATGCCAGTTGCTCACAAAGTACAGTTTTTGCTCACAAGACTCCACAGCTTAGAGGGAGCATTGGTGGTCACCTGTGCAGGTGCTCCACCCCCTCCGTTTATGCTGGAAAAGCAGCATGGGTGAAGGGAAAAGGCGCACCCTCTAGAATTTTTGAGCTTCAGAATCTCAACGGCAGGCCTGTGTCTGTGCAGTAAACCGTGTGGAACTGCACAGGTACGACGATAAAACAGGTTGCTTACCTTTCACTGATGTCCTTCAAGTACTTGGGTTCTACTCCTCTGCAGAATGCCATTTGGAGCTTCTGAGAGCTAAAGGCTGAAGCTGTTGCAACGGCCCTGCTCCCTGGGGGGGGGGATATCTCTTGCAAACATTCTTTCCTTTTCTGTTCTTCTGGACTACTGCAGAAGCAGTGGAGCAGATGCAGCAGGGAAGGTGGCTGGTTTGCATGTAGAGGTGGCCGCTCAAAGTTACACGTAAGCAACCTAAGTATTTTTTTTTTTTTTTGCAGGGAGGGTCTTTTCATTAGCCTGTGTTAGACCCATAAGTGGGAAACCAGCAAACTGGCTTAACCGGTGGAGGATGCAGCCACTGCTGGGGGAATAAAGTGTTGAAAATGCCTCTACCAACAACTACATCGGTGTAGTCTTTTGCATCTAAGGCATAAGAACACAAGAGAAGCCAATGTTGGATCAGGTCAAATGGCCCATCTAGTCCAACCCTCTGTCACCCAGTAGCCAAAAATACCAGGTGCAATCAGGAGGTCCAGCAGTGGGGCCAGGACACTAGAAGCCCTCCCGCTGCCGCCCCCCCCCCCCAAGCACCAAGAATACAGAGCATCCCTTGCCCCAGACTGAGAATATAAGGTTGGATGGCCAGGTAACTCCTGTACCATATTCTGTGAGTGGAATCCTCATGCAAAAGGTTGGAGAGTTAGCTCATAGCCCCCAACAACGGGGAAGAGATTTGTTCAGAGGGGTTTTTTTTAGTATTTGTGTGTGCGTCTCTGTGCCTGGAAGTCATGGTGACTTCTGGTGACTTGGGCTTGGATGTCTTCAGAGAAGTGGATTGCGACCTGCCTCTGCATCCCGAGCCTTGGTATTCCTTAGTGGTCTCCAGGGGTCATTTCTTGCAGCACACAGGAGCGGAGCTCTGACAGTAAGGAGCCCAGGGGGCGGGCACATGCAATAAGCCCCACCCCCTGCTCCCAGCAGCCCACAGTCAGAGCAAGAAGCAGCCAGGTCAGTTGCAGAGCTCTCCCCGGCCCAAGACAGTCCAGTGGGACCTTTAAGACCCAAGTTTTATTCAGGTACAAGCTCTCCCTCCTCTGTGAGGACAGATCTGTACGTTTCCCCCCCCCCCAATAGCTAGCAATCCAAAACAGTCCAGTGGAGCCTGAGCAGTGGGCGTTGCCTTCTGACACACTTCCAGTGATGTCAGGGGGTGTGGCATATGCAAATAAGTTATGCTAATGAGCTCCTGCACCTCTTTTTCTACGAAATGACCTCTGGTGGTCTCCCTTCCAAGTACTTGCCAGGGTCTGCCCTACTTAGCTTCAGAGATCTGACGAGATCGGGCTAGCCTGGGCTATCCAGGTCAGGGCAAGAGTTGTTAGTTTTTAACAAAGCCCGTCTGCAGAAATCATCCAGCATACAGGAGTGAGTGCCGTCCTTGGATAGTCCCTGTAAGGCTGGGAAATGAAACTGCTTCGTCGGATGCAATGGCTCTTCGTGCTCTTTCCCCGATCCTTCGCTTTTGAGGATTATAGCCCAGTGTCACAACTGGCTTGACGGACTGCTGATGCTGAGCCGTTTATGTGCAAAAATACCCAACACCCATGGTCCCTGCCAGTGCTCCCTCTAAGCTGTGGAGTCTCGTGCGCAAAAATTCTACTTCGTGAGCTACTGGCATTAAAGTTGTGAGCCGATGATTTGGCTGCTGCATAAATTAGTTTGCTCCGGAGCCCTCCTTCCTGAGCTAAAACAAAAATGTGTGAGCCGGAGGCTAAAAAACTGTGAGCTAGCTCACACTGACTCAGCTTAGAGGGAACACTCTCTTGCATAATAACAGATACAGAGCCAAGGAAATAGTGTGTACTGGCAGACCAATTTACTTCCAATTTTAATATTTATGGGGAAGAAGAGATTAGATTTATACCCTGCCCTTCACTTGGAGTCTCAGGGGGGCTTACAGTCTCCTTTCCCTTCCCCTCCCCACAACAGGACACCCTGTGAGGTAGGCGGGGCTGAGAGAACGGCTCGTAAGAGAACAGCTCTGAAAGAACTTGTAACTGACCCAAGGTCACACCAGCAGCTGCATGTGGAGGAGTGGGGAATCAAACCCGGTTCTCCCAGATTAGAGTCCGCGCACTTAGCCACTACACCAAACTGGCTCTCAGTAAGTGTAGAGTAGGTGTAAAGTAGCCTATAATTTTAGGCATTCAGAACCCTATTTAGTTTTGCTACCGTGGAGTCTGTTCTGTTAGCATGATCTGAAGGAAACTGAAATAAGTGTATGTCAGTGCTGGAGGGGAGATAAGTTAGAATAGTCCATAAAATACCTCGACTAAAATTGGCTTTTTCTAGCTAGACCATGGGTTTTCCCCAGACACCTTTCTCAGAGCCCTGTGCACAGGATTTCTGTACGTTGCACCCAATACATCCAACTACTGAACTAATATTGACACACTTGTTAAACTGGTTTTTTTTTTTTTTTGAGGTTGTGGAACATATTAGCAAGGGATACAGTGGTAAAAAATAGGAAACAGAATCGTGAGTCTTCTTGCTAGGAGATTTGATGGGAGTGTTGGATGTAGGATGGCATGCCCAGACCCTCTTCCTCAGTTCAGCAGCTCATTTGCTGTACCCCAAAAGTAGAGGTGTAAAAGTAGGGTCAAGCTGGGGTGGGCTCAGGTCACAGCCGAGACAGATGGGTGGGTTAAAAGCCAGTAGGATTCTGAGGAGGGGACCTTTCCTGTAGAGCAGCAATTGTTTAAAATAAGAATTTTAAAAGTGGTCGTTTGGAGAGTAAAAGTTTTGAAGGTAAACTGTCTAGCTGATGCTCACATGCCCCACGACGACTCTATTCACAATGCATTTTTAGAACCAGGCATTATACAGGTGGTATTTTCATGCACTGCAGTCACATTCCTAAACACAGGCATCAAAAGGAACGCCCCTGATGTTGCATAGTGGCATTGCTAAAGCTACTCTATTTTAGTCTCTTAGGCCCAGGGGTCATTTCGTAGAAAAAGTGGTGCAGGAGCTCATTAGCATAACTCATTTGCATATGCCACACGTCCTGACATCACCGGAAGTGTGTCAGAAGGCAACACCCACCGCTCAGGCTCCACTGGACTGTTTTGGATTCCTAGCTCTGGGGGTGGGGGGGAGAACGTGCAGATCTCTCCTCGGCAGAGGAGGGAGAGCTTGTACCTGAATAAAACTTGGTCTTAAAGGTGCCATGGGACTGTTTTGGACAGGGGGGGGGCTCTGCAGTTTACCTGGGGTCGCAAAGAGTGGGACTCGACTGTGCGACTGAACAACAAAAACTCCACAGCTTAGAGGGAACGTTGCATAGTTCCCAGCTCACAAAGGCTGGGGACCAGTGCTCCCTCTAAGCTGAGTGAGTGTGAGCTAGCTCACAGTTTTTTAGCCTCCGGCTCACACTTTTTTGTCTCCGCTCAGGAAGGGATGGCTCCAGAGCAAACTAATTTATGCAGCAGCCAAATCACTCGCTCACAACTTCAATGCCAGTCGCTCACAAAGTAGAATTTTTGCTCACAAGACTCCACAGCTTAGAGGGAGCATTGCTGGGGACCCCAGAAAATCCACACCGTACATTAAAATTCATTTATTTCTATATCGGGAAGAGTCAACAAAGTACTTAACTATGTAAATTTTTCTTTATGCCAAGCAACGTACAGTGTGTTCAAACGGGGAGGGTGAAATCATTGGCAGATAAATTATACTGCGATCGATCGTATGTAAAGTTACACCAATTGTAAGCCTTCGAGACTCAGCCTCGGAGTCCTCTCTTAGTCATGGTAGGGTTCAGACGTTCTTCGTAGGTTAGCAGCACAATTCATAATCCCTTCCTCAGCAGCAAAAAGGTAGAAATCCATTTAGCAAACGGGCAGAGGTACGAAAAAAACCAAGGCGCCTTTTCGGCCACTGCTCCAGGAGGTGAGCGAGCGGCTTCATGACTCTCCTATGGCAACTCCTCCTGTTTTCAAAGCAATCCGATATTTCTCCTTGCTCACCAATATGTGACCTTCTGACTTGTACTTTGCTCTGTTTATTTTGGTAGACCATTAATTTAGGCTGGTGAGGATCCAAAAACCTTGTGTGAAGCAGCCTGGCTCTCCAGCAAGCTTCCAGGATGAGATCCATTGGCCTTTCAACATCTCTAAAACTGGCCTTTATTTCATTGGCAATATCTGGTTCCCAGGCAACAAGCTCTGTCAACAGAACTGGTGAATGTGTGTTCAAACTTCTGGTTGCTGGGGAGCCCTGTGCTTCCCTTCTCCCCGACAACAAACACACACCAACACAAAACGTCTCCGCGGGTTTTGCCTTTGGCTTCTAGTCGTGTCCTTTTGCTGTACATCAGTTGGGCTCTCAGTTTTCCCGAGGAGAGAATGAGCCATCAAGGTGTGGTCGTTTTGAACGTGGGAGGATTGAAATTCACTACCTGGCCGTCTACACTACAGCAGTTCCCCGAGTCCCGATTGGCAAAGATGCTCAACGGTGGCGATCGGGAATTTCGGCTGGTGAACGGCGAGTTCTTTGTCGACCGCGATGGCGTTCTGTTCAGCTACATTCTGGATTTCTTAAGAACTCTCCAGGTTTCTCTGCCCAGTGATTTCTCCGACTATCAGAGGCTGGAGAGAGAGGCGCACTTCTACGAACTTTATTCTATGGCTGACCTCCTGAGTCAGGACAGTTTACTGAAGCCAAAGGTGGAGATACTGGAAATACGATTCGTGCTCCAAGAGACGCAGGCTTTTTTCCGGGTTTTTGGCTCCTGCAGCACCACGATCGATGCACTAGCTGGGTGCGTCACCATCTTCGCGGAGCAGCTTGGGGGCCCGACCTGGAATAACCACAACATCCCGTCTCAGAAACCACTGGTCCCCCTTCCTTTGGAGAGGCCTTCCCACCATGACTTTATTTTCCAGTGTGGCACTGACTATAGCGATCGGCTCGGGGCAAGGTATTTTTGTTTGTTTCCACAAACCATTTCTGGATTAGATGATACAGAGTGCACATACAGTCTGATTTCTGAAAGGCCTTCGGTGACTGCAAAAAAAAAGTCGAAAAAGAAACCCAAGCGATGAGGTGTCTGTGACCAGTGTTCCCTCTAAGCTGAGTTAGTGTGAGCTACGTCACAGTTTTTTTAGCCTCTGGCTCACACATTTGTCTTAACTCAGGAAGGATGGCTCCAGAGCAGACTAATTTTATGCAGCAGCCAAATCATTCGCTCACAACTTTAACGCCACGAGCTTATGAAGTAGAATTCTTGCTCACAAGACTCTACAGCTTAGAGGGACCACTGTCTGTGACTTGGCTGTTTTGCTCACCCGCAACTCTGACAGTAATTTCAAAGCCCTTCTAGGATCCAACCCTGATCACTTTCTATTATATGCCACCCTCCCCTACCAATTTTAAAATTTATTAAGTTACGGCCTATCTGAAATTTTTGGGGTAAGAAAAGCAATACTCGGGAACTGGAATAAGACTGCATTGAGTTTAATTAAGGGCGATTCTGCAGGGGGAAAGCGAAGAGAGAAGGGGTTTAAACTTTAAACACCTTCTCTCTTCGCTTCCCCCCCCCCAGCCCGCCTTGGCAGGCCGGCTGGGAAAGAGAAGGCTTTTGAAGAGTCCCCCCCCCTCTCTCTGGAGTTGCGCTACAGAAGCATCAGGATCTCTCCATTGTATTGTACGGGGCCATAGAATACAATGGAGAGATTGCGCCGCTGCAGCTGTGCGACTCTAGACAGAAGGAGCTTGGGGGAGGGGAGCTGGGGGTGGGGCTTGCCACCACCGCCATTTGTGCGTGCCCCTGGGGTGCCAGAGCGGCGCTCCGGCGCGCTGTGGTCCCAAACGACCCCTGCCCTCTACACTGCATGCCGCTTTCGCTTTCTTTGATCATCGGGGTTTATGGTACCTTCTGGGGTGACTTTGCAGTCAGTACGGCGTTGCCCCCGGGGTATCTGAATGTGGTTTTGAGCGGCACCTTTTCCCTTCAGTGTTGAGAAAATGTGGAGCGAATGCCAGATGCAGAACCAGCCTAAGTTGTAACCTTCAGCCCCGAAGCTCAGACCCATACCCATTACACTTCTGAAGATGCTTGAGCTTGGACTTGGGCTGGTTTGCGTTGGGTGAAGGTTCCACAATTGGTGGACAGTCTCTAATTGTCTTTCTTCATCCCCTTGCTGGAGTGCAAATGATACGAAAACGCAGCTTTATTTATGGTCTGCCTTTTTCTCTGGGACCCACCCAAGACAGATTACAGTTATGATAAAATCTGTTTCAGTCAACCAGTAAACAGAGTACAAGATACAACATTTGACTCTGACAGCAAAAATTCCTAGTAAGACCAAAAAGTTCAATAGCATGGACTCTAATATGGGAGTACGGTTAAGAGCGTGGACATTAACCTGGGAGAAACAGGTTTGATTTCCCCACATGCAGCTGCTGGTGTGACCTTGGGTCAGTCACAAATTCTTTCAGAGGTATTCTCTCACCAGCAGTCCTTGAAAGAGCTCTCTCAGCCCCACCTACCTCACAGGGTGTCTGTTGTGGGGAGGGGAAGGAGAAGGAGATTGTAAACTGCTCTGAGACTCCTCCGGGTAGTGAAGGGCGGGGTCTAAATCCAATCTCTTCTTCAATACCATAGAGACCAGAAACGATTTTCAGGGTATATGCTTTCGAGAGTCAAAGGTTTCTTCAACAGAGGCAAGTCAGAATGGAGATCTCGAAGTCTGTATGTCCTGGTTCTTATACCCGTCTTTGCAAAACTCCTCCCACCTTTTGACTGGGATATAAAGAGAGATGCCCGTTCTGACCCGTATCTGACAAAGAGAGCCTTGACGCTTGAAAACGTATACCCTGAAGATCTTGTTGGTGTCTGCCACTGGACTCAAATCTAGCTGATCTACTGTGGTCCAGCATGGATACCATCTGAAACTAGTACGGCCAAAAAATGCAGTTGGGGTGGGATTGTAGCATGGGGGACAACCTGAGCGATCCATGCAAAAATATCCCTTTAAGGCGACAGGGCAATCAGAATGGGAAAGACTTTATTCCCTAGCGACAGTCACCTCCTGAGCCGAACCAATACGCTGCAGCTTTGCTCCTTCTACGAGAACAACCCCCCCCCCAACAGTTCTGGTTTGCTAGCGTCAGGCAGACTTTAAGAACATAAGAGACGCCAATGTTGGATCAGGCCAAAGGCCCATCCAGTCCAACATTCTGTGTCACACAGTGGCCAGAAACAGGGGTCGTTTCGTAGAAAAAGAGCTAGGGGAACTCATTAGCATAACTCATTCGCATATGCCACACCCCCTGACATCACCGGAAGTGTGTCATAAGGCCACACCCCCTGACATCACCGGAAGTGTGTCATAAGGCCACACCCCCTGACATCAC